TGACTTTTTTATCACAGTTTGTATGCTTGCATAGTGCAGCACAAGGCAAAGGAGAATTTGCAACGAGTCAACAGAAACCTTCTGGCAATAATTCAGCTGGTCCAACATCTTTTAAAATGTATCTTCCAAAACCAAAACGAGCCATGTTTGATCCATTCCCTTATGAAGGAGTGACATGTTCTATATTTTGAAGAAGACAAAGACTTACATGGCAAGATGTAAGTGACAAAGATGTGTCGGTGAATTATGCAAGTTATCTGAAACAAGGGCCAAAATTACTGAATCATCACACACTCTGCGTAACACTTAACTTACTATAACCTTGTTCATATATACATCTCCCAGCCTTGCACAAAGGAGAAAGTAAAAGCTATTTTTGAAGTAATTTAGGAAGCTTAAAAACCAGCCAGTCACAGTGAAATTTATTAGCATCTTTTCTACGCCTCACTTCAACTGCCACTTTATTGAAAAGTGTTATTCTAGTAAAATCCTTAAAAGGAATGTCTTGAGGCTTTCAATGACTACAAAGGACACTTGTAAAGTTAGCTGTTCTCATTAGTATACAGGGGCTAGGGTTTGGGGAGAAGGAAGGGGGGGGAGGGAAAGGAGATGCAAAATCGATGCATAATTATCAGTGGCAAAAAGTTCAAGTCAAACTCACCAGCTTTCAGAATTCCAGCTGACCCCTACTCATATGTTTTTAACCATTTTAACTATTCAGGCTTCACCAACCATGCCCAGCTTTTAGCTTGTTTCCTTCAGCTTTTTTAGTAATTAAACTACTCATCCCTGGGTTCAAATTCAACATCTGCACAGCAAATACCTACCTCCCTGAGCATCTAAAGGACAAATACAAGAATAACTACTTCTTCAGTTGTGGCTAGTGGTTATATTCTTTGTACCTGCTATTGAACTTTTTCCTGGAGAAAGAAAGAAACAAGAAAATTGCAAATGAAAATTCATTTGAAGAATAACTGACACAAAGTATATCATTGTATTAGACAGTAAGAATTAACGGCAGATCCAGATCTTTTCCAAGTGCAAAATGCCACAAAAGCAACCCAGGTTATGAGAAAGGACTTCAGATGTTAGTAATTAAGAAGATTCAAAAATGCACAGAACTTTTTTTTTTTTTTTGCATTTTACACGCTTTGATATGGAAAAACTACATTCAACTTATAAATTAGTCAAGATAAAGCTAATAATATCACATACTGGTCCTAATGCAGGAGGAATCCAGTGAGACATCACAAAAACCTTCAGCATCAGGTTCTAGTAGCAGCTGTGGCAGAGAGAGAAATCTAAAATATTTTGTGGATTTAATGTATTCATGAAAGAACTAATCACACAAGTAAACGTAGTTGCTCAAATTGCTCTCTTGGACAAAGGCAAACATCTTCCATTTTCTTTCATGTGGGATTGCTACCTTCTTCAAAGGAGAAGCTTTTACCTCAAATTGAGTGGGGGTTGGGAGATTGTTAAGCTCCAGTCTGTCTGATGTGTTCAGTTCTGATCTTGAAGCTCAATGGCTCCTAAAAACCCAACATAGGATTTTTACAAAGGAAGCTATTCAAAATAGGTATTGGAACTTAATGACCAGCATTGAATTATCAAATTCTGCTTTATAGATTTTAATTTTTTTGTGATTGCTGCCTAGACCTCTTCTCTTTCCTAGAGTCCTTTTTCTATCCTCAGAGAACCAAAAAAAAAAAAACCTTCCCCAGCACAAAATACCTAGTTTTTTGTTTCAGTATGATTCGACTTAAAAATTCCAACAGCCACATTCTCGGCTGCTCGAAGGGGCGTCTCACGGCTTACAAATGAACGCTGCTGGCAAACAAAGGGGCTCAGTTGCATCTCCGTGCATTAATAACCGGTGTCCCACTGCATCAGACTATGCGGATTGTTATGGGGATTTTTCTTTTTTTTTTTTTGCTTGCAAAATGGAGATCTTACAACTGAAAGAAGATCAAGGGGGAACGTGCCTACACGGTTTTGTTCTCATGAATCAGAATTCATTTCCCCTTAACAATGAGACACAGACCCAAAAATAAAAACAAGACCACGTTTATTCAATACAGACAGGTTAATTAAGACAGTAAGTCCTGTAAATCAGGAACACATTTCAAACGCTCCGGTACGAAGTGCATATATTTTAAAATCAACAGCTGCATCTTGTACTTGAGCCATTGAGTTTGTCGGGAAAGGGTGGATTCAGGGTTTTTCTTTTTGGTAGAAAAAACTTGTGTCGGCTACCTTATGTGAACAATGCATCTCAGGCTCCATTCACTCATTTGTTTTAAGTCCAGCTGCCTTCCAGCTTTGATATTCACATTTTTAAAAACTGCTTCATACAGTCACAACGAGAAATAATAACAATAAACGTTAAAATAACAACAAATAAACCCCCAACAAAAAACCAAACCAGCCCGGGAGGGGAAAGGAAACACCTCCCGCCGGGGTCAGCGAGGATTATTGCAAATGGCTCCTGGGAGACGGCGGAGCTCCGCGGCAGCGGGGGACCGGCGGCGGGGGGGTCCGCGGCCTCGGCCGGGCTGCCCCGGCGGGGGGAGGAGAAGGAGGAGCTCCCGGGGAAGGCAGAGGAGAAGGGGGGCACA